TGAATTCTCCTTGCTGGTGCCCTCTTGGGCTTGCCAGACCTTTAGTCCTAAGCTTATTATAAGCTTATGTGGACTAAGTTAAACTTGAGAGGATACATTCTCTTATGTCTATGCTGTGAATAAATTTACACGAAGACACAAGGCGTCGCTTTCACCCCCACTTAAGAAGGGTTCGGAGCTCGGGTATATAGCCAGAGATGAAAACTTTTTCAAAAATCTGAAATCATTGAAAAATGTCAGTACAACTATTTATTTGAAAAATAATCAAAAATAAATAATTAGAATCGAATAAATAATTTAAAATTAAAATTTATTATTTTCGCTTAAAAAGACAACCGAAAATTAACTCTAGCCTGACTCACTTACTTGTCCCCAGCGAAGTCGCCAAGTTGTCGCGGTCGTCTTTCGGGTGGGTTTGGAATTAGGTTTCGACTTGAAAAAATGGGTTAGAGTCGCCACCGATCATTTTAAAAATATTTAGGTGGATCAGACACCATCTTACCTGATCTGTGTTTTACCAGAAATGTGTCGGGTTCGAGAGTCGGTTACAGTCAAGGAAGGATTAGCACCCTTGAACTACCCTTTCGGTACCGTTTTAATATGTCGGTTGTCTTAATTACAAAAATTAAAATTTAAAAACCTGATTCATATTACTTACCTTCGATTGATTAAAACATTCCCTTAAAAAGTCAAAAATATTGTTAGATTTTAAAATAAAAATAAATATGAAAAAAGAAATAAAAAATATTAATATAATAATAATAGTAAAATAAAATAGATGAATAAAGATAAATGAAATTGAGTAAAAAATAATAATAAAAATAAGAGAAAAAACAAAATAAAAAAAAGAAAAAGAAAATATAATAAAAAATAAAAAAGAGAAAACGTCTAAAAAATAATACAACCTATAATATAAAAACAACACATTTCAAACACTAAAATATAATGAACCCATACAATTAGAGCTAAAATATAAATTATCCAAAATTACAAATTAAAAATTGAAATAATTAAAAGTGACCAAAAGAAATACATGTAAAATAATATGGTCAAATTAGAAACAATAATATTTAGTGAGGACCGAACATGTAAATAAACCAAAGAAAATTGTATTAACACAGTGGCTAAAATAAAACATAAAAAAATAAAAAGGATTTAAATGATAATAACCCATAGACAATGTAAAGGACTGAAATGAGATAAACATAAACATAAAAGGATCCAACAGTAATTAAACCAAATATCCAACAGTGAATAAAATATAAATATACAAAATCTTGAGGGACTGCGGGAATGATTTTCCCTTGAGCCCAACACGCCTAAATGGTACATCATCTCTCATTTTTCATTTTCCCTCTCTCTCTAAGAGATAGAAGCTCTGGCTTTTCTCTAAAATCCCTCCCTAGAGGGAAACCGGCCACCGACCGACCACCGTCTGCCATCAGCGACAGCCATCGCTCTGGTCACTGCCTCCGGTGGCCGTAAGAAGCAAAACATATCCCTTTCGAAAGCCCTCAACCCCCTGATTACAAATCCAAAGCCCGATCATCCTAAACCACACTAAATCAACTTAGATCTAAACTGAAAGGTTTTGGGGTTTACCTTTTCATCATTTCCTCACCGTTTTCCGGTTACCGTTGGCTTGGTTGTTCCCTTGCGGTTGTGTGCTTTTTTGTTTCGTTTATTTTCTGGTGGTTTTTCGTTGCTTTGTTTTGGTTGTTCTCTGGTAGTTTTTGCGTGGTTTTGATGTTGATTTGGCTCTGTTTTGTTGTGTATATGGTTTGATGTCTATGTTGTTGTGGCTCCGTTGTTGTTCGATGGTCCTCCGTGACAGACTTGGTGGGGTATTTATACCCCACCGCTAGTGGTTCATTTCCGGTGATCTCGGGATCATTCTCGGTTATCTCGGGACGTTAGTCGACTGTTTCGCGGTCGTGGGTTTGACCGAACACCCCGGGATGGTTCAGTCATAGGGATCTCGGCCGGTTGGTAGATCATTTTCTGGCCGTTAGATTGGGTCAGATCTAACGGTCCAGATCTGGCTGCGCAAGTGATATCTGTGACTTAATCAAACCCTAGTTCCCTTGCAATTATGGTCGTTGATCCTCATCCCGATCTAATGGTTTCCTGTTGTGCGGCGCTGGACCCAAGCGTGAAACCCTAGCACGCTTCGGGTCTCTTGTTTACCCGATTTACCCGCTGGGTATTTGGGTTACCCAATCTTGGCCTGTTGGGTCAGGCGGGCTTGGACCTTTGCTGGACCCACTTTGGACACTGTTATTAGACCTGATTAGAATAAAAAGAAAAGGGAAAAAAAGAAAAATATTAATAAATAATAAATAATATTAATAATATATATAATAAATAAATAAATACAAATCATTTTTAGAATTATATATTATATATTTTCAAAAAACATTGTTTTCAAAACCATAAAATATATATTTTCAAAAAAAATATTTTTAAAACTATATAACACATTTTTCAAAAGCATTTTCAAAACTATATATTATATACATATTTTTAAAATATTTTTTAAAAACTATATTATATATATGTTTTCAAAATGTTTTTAAAAATTATATATTATATATATGTTTTCAAAATGTTTTAAAACTATATAATATATATGTTTTCAAAAATGTTTCCAAAACTATATAATATATATTTTCAAAAATGTTTTCAAAAACTATATATTATATATATATTAAAAATATTTTCCAAAACTATATATTATATATATACTTTCAAAATGTTTTCAAAACTATATAATATATATATATATATTTGAAAACCGTTTTCAAAACTATATGATATATATATTTTCAAAATTCGTTTTCTAAAAAATTATATATTTTATTTTTCAAAAAAATATTTTCAAAATTATACAATATTAATATATATATATATATAAAATAAAATTAAAAATAAATAGAAAAAAATTCGGACGAAAATGAGTATCTACATTATTAAATTATATTTTTTTTTTCAGATTTACATCGCATCATTTGAATTAAAATAAATATATATATAAATAACAAATAAAATTATATAAATATAAAAACCAAAATGACATAGGTCACCAAATATAAAATTGTCTTACGATTATAATAGTTGCAAAGTTCTGGTCGGTTGCCATGGCATCTAGTAGCAGGAGCTTCAAGGCCATTATGGGTGCGCCTGGGGTGTGAGGAAAGAAGGTCTCGGCTATATCGAAAGATGATTTGACTACATTCATTCAGTCGATCATTTCCACCGAACAAGAATCGAAAGAACATCTTTACGTGCTTGATTTGGGTGCCGTCGATGATCTCTTTAACGAGTGGAACCGTAACCTTCCCGTGGACCAACTTTTCTACGCCGTCAAGTGTAATCCCAACCCAGCTCTCCTCGGGGCACTGGCTGCCCTCGGCTCCAGCTTCGACTGTGCAAGCAAGACCGAGATTGAATCCGTCTTGTCTCTCGGTGTTTCGCCTGACAGGATCATTTTTGCCAACCCATGCAAAGCAGCGTCCCATATCAAGTACGCCGCCACGTCGGCGATAACCTAACAACTTTTGACTCTAAAGAGGAACTCGATAAGATTAAGAAGTGGCACCCTCAATGTGCATTATTGATCCGAGTCAAAGTCCCGGATGATAGCCGTTCAAGATGTCCTTTAGGTGCCAAATTTGGTGCACTCCCCGAAGAAATCGTCCCTCTTCTCCAAGCCGCTCAGGTTCTACGGCTCACCGTCACGGGAGTCTCCTTCCACATTGGTAGCGGAGCCATGCAGTTTCGAGCTTACCGAGAAGCCATTGCAGCAGCTAAAATTGCGTTTGAGACTTCCGCTAGACTCGGCATGCCCAAGATGCATGTGCTAAACATCGGTGGAGGGTTCACAGCCGGTTCACAATTCAAGGAAGCAGCGTCAACGGTGAAAGCTGCTCTCCGATATTACTTTCCGAATGAGCCCGGCTTGATAATAATGGACGAGCCCGTTCGGTTTTTCGCGGAGAAGGTATTCACGTTAGCTATACAAACATTATAGGAAAGCAAGTTAGAGGTGATATAAGAGGGTATTGGATCAACGATGGGATCTACGGATCAATGAACTGGATCAATGAACTGTATACAATAAAGCGACTATCACATGCATGCCTCTCGCAGGATCATCCAACGTGCAAGGCGGCGAGAAATTATGATTCCACCGTGTTCGGACCGACGTGTGATGCGATTGATACGGTGATGAAGGGTTATCGGCTGCCGGAGCTGAACGTGGATTACTGGCTGGTGTTCCCCAACATGGGGGCTTACAGGGCGGCCGCTGGAACCAGTTTCAATGGGTTCAACACGTCAGACATTTTGACTTACCTTGCTTATTCCAATTGATCAAATTCTGATTAGTCAACATCATGGAATCTCCTTGCAAGAAGAAATATTTGCTGAATAACGTATTCAACAACTCCAACTTTTTAACTTTCCTTTTACAATTGTTCAATAAAAAAAGCTTTCCTTTTATAGTATAATACACATTCAAAAAAAAAAATGAATGAAGGGACATTGCTAATGGAATGAATGAAGCTGCCTGCAGAATTGATATCTTAAAAACTTAATTTTTGAGGTAATTAATAGCTTTCTTACTCTGCAATTTGCTAATCAAGTCCATAATTTGGAGATGATTTGGATTGATTTGACACTAGTTTGGTTAAAAAATTAAAATATATATCATTTAAATAGTTTAATGACTTAATTCAAGCAAGAGTTACACTGACCTCGGTAGTAAAGAAATTGTTGACATTCCTTGAAGTCTTGCGTTCGAGCACCAAGAATGTCAAGGGTATGAGTATTCAATGTCAAATAGTTGAGAGTTATATTTGAACAGATACTACATTGTATTTACTCCAGATTAATCAAAAGAAAAAAATAATGACCTAATTCAAAAACAATTAGTTCATTGGTCAAAATAGAAACTTCCCTATAATTTAGTGACTATACTGTTAGTTTAGCCTTTTCGTTTTATGTTTACATCCGATTTAAAGCATTTGTCGATCCTTCTAGACGCCGTTTCCCAGCTACCGACTAGAACCATCGGGCATTCGCAACATTATTGGTTGGTGAACGGCCAACAAAGGTATGTATGTGCCAATTTCGCAAATTTGAGGCTTTTTTTGTTGGATTAACTGTTGTTTTTAGCTATTACTCTTCGCAGTCGATTCTTCCCTCTTCGTCTCGTTTTTGAGTGATCCAATTCAATGCTTTCTTGGAAATAAATTCATCTTCTGGTGATTTACCCAATAATTTGTAGGAACGGATTTCAGTCAGTGCCCAGTGTTCGGGTTTTTTTAATGTAATCTAGTTTCATAGGGGGTTTTAAAATTTGGATAATTTTGTGATAAAGGGAGCAATTTTGTTTTTTTTTCAAGGAAAGGAAGAGAATCAGTTGCGATTCTCTCCATGGATCTGCAGGACTTCTTGCTTCGCGCTCGAGTGCTGAAGCTTTACAGACAAGCTCTACGGACCGCTCGAATGGCTCCTCATGATTCTAGAGGTGAACATTCTCTAACCAATATGCCTTCTTAATGCTGCTGAGAAATGTTTTGAGAAAACCTATTCTTCCATCTTTAATCTTAATGCATATTAATTGTTTTTGTTGTTTTGTTCCTATTGTCATCTTGTTACTTCCCTGTTGATTAGTTTCATCTGATTTTGAACTGGATTATATGTTTTGAACATCAAGTTGTGCATTGCATTGCCTGAAAAGAAGTGGGTTTTTGCAGCTGAATTGAAACAGTTGATTAGACAAGAGATGGAGAGTAATCGAGATTGCAAGGATAAACAAAAGATCCGCTTCTTGCTTAGTGAAGGAACCGAGAGACTGAAAGGTCTGACTGAGATGCTTGGGATGCAGGGACATTGCTAGTGGAATCAATGAAGCAGCATTTGATGTATCTTAACTAGGCCATTGTTGAGCTGTACTCGACCAGCTCAAGTTATCAAACAAGTCAAATTCAAGTATCTTAATGCCTCTTCAGTAGTTCGTGAGCCTAGTTAAGGTTTTCTTTTAATTAGTATTGAAAAAACATAGTTCAAACCAAAATACAGTTTATTGTGTTCGAAGCATAGCATGAAGCTTAGTTCAATTTTTATTAGGTAAACAAGCCTAATTGAGTGAGCTTCAGTAGCTCGGTTTAACATCTAGAATTGAACTAAAGCTTAAAATATAATTTTTATTGAAGTTTTTGGTCATTTTGGAGCTTCTTATTGCGTGAACTTGAGTAAATAGGTAAACTTACTCTTGCAAGATTGCCAAGAAAGGGTAGAGCCCTGACCCTCAAAATGCTGGCAAATTAAGCACTAATGCTCAACAAGGTTTGAACAAAATTTGAAGCTTAAGCAAATGATGAACAAAAAGGTAATAAGGACAACAGAATAAAAGATGAAGCTCTGCTGTTTGCTGCGATTAGATAACATTTATGCACCTTTGGTTGGATCCCTTAAAAGCTCAGGGATTAACTGACCTGATAATCACAGGGGTAAACAGGCTTATTATATATTAACTCCTTCCATGGATCAAAATCATAAAGGTAGAAACACCAAAATTTCAAATTCTTTTATAATCTAAGTATTTTTCTTTATATTTTCTATTGATAATATGTTTTTGTCGAAATGTATCACTTAATATAAAATCATGCGACCGTCCCAGACTCCACTCCACAGACCAATCATTCAAAGCTAAATAAAATAGAAGATGGAAAAGAAAACGAAAAATAATTAAGCTTAAACGAAGGGTTTGAAAGGGAGTTTGTTGAAATTAAATAGTACCTGGACACGAGCAAATGAAATGAAGGTCATTGTTGAAAGCGTACAATATGTTGTAGCCTTGAAACTTCCGTTTTAAAAACAGGTAATGCGCGTCTTTCGATGAAGACGACGATCAATAATCAATAACGACTGTGAAGCAAGATAAGCTATATATAAACATGGATTACTTTGTCATTTCCTTAACCTCCTAGCTATATATAAAGGCTTCTTCTTGCATGGACTTCGTAAATTCGGTTAGTCCTCAAATAGTTTTCTTTCCTTTTTTAATTCCAAACAAAATTTGTCACAAATTTTACCTAAACAAATAGCAATTTCGGTTTCTTGGATCATTGAGCTTTTAGGATTGTTTCTCCAATTTTCAGACTGAAGAATGGCGAAAGTGAGACAATCTCGATTCTTAGCGAAGAAAAGGTTGACAATAACGCTTGTATTATCGATCTTGGTGATGTTAACGGTGGTTTTGTTGATGCTTCTGGGATTAGGGACTTTCTCCCTCCCGATGAGCGCCGACGATTCATCGTCCTATGATCTCACTACTTATAGACGCATGGCTTCTAAAAGGTTTTAGCAATAATTTTCCAACGCATTCATATCACTTTTGATTAGATGCAATGTGTTTTCCTATTTGTTTTCATTGATTTGGCTTTAATGTAGAGGAAAAGGCTCGGGATCCAGAGGGGAGCACTGGGCCGAAGTCATTTCATGGGAGCCAAGAGTTTTCCTTTATCATAATTTCTTGGTTGGTTTCTACCTTATTCTTTTCCTTTTACAATATTTCTTACTATTGAGATGATGTAATGCTACCCAGAGATTCAAATAGCGACAACGATGCTGTTCGAAACTGTTAATTAACAATGTAATGAGATGTGATTTATATTTCTCTTGACTTTGATATTTGGACAGTCCAAAGAAGAATGCGAGTACCTCATAAAAATTGCTAAACCTCACATGAGAAAGTCCAGTGTAGTTGATAGCAAAACAGGGAAGAGCAAAGATAGCAGGTTCGCATTTCCTATCCTCCCATCTATTGTTTCCTTGTGATGATGATAAATAAATGCTAAATCTTATATGTTCTTCGCAGGGTGCGTACGAGTTCGGGTATGTTTCTGAGAAGGGGGCAAGATAAAATCATAAGTGACATAGAGAAAAGGATAGCAGAGTACAGTTTCATGCCTGTAGGTATGAGATATTAAATGGATTTTCCCCATTTTCCAGTTACTGCATTTTCTTTTCTTTTTATGACTTGCTAAGTTGGTAATCTATAGAGCATGGGGAAGGTCTTCAAGTTCTCCACTATGAAGTTGGGCAGAAATATGATCCACACTTCGATTACTTCCTTGATACGTTCAACATTAGAAAGGGAGGTCAGAGGATGGCTACTATGCTTATGTATTTGTAAGTTTTATAATTTTAGCTCTACATGTTTTGAAAAAGAGGGATTTGTTACCGATTACATTACTCGCAAATGCTAATGCAGGACGGATGTAGAAGAAGGGGGAGAGACTATATTTCCTGCTGCCAAGGGAAATGTTAGTGACGTTCCGTGGTGGGACGAATTGTCAGAATGTGGGAAAAAGGGTCTTGCTGTGAAGCCCAAGATGGGCAATGCATTGCTGTTCTGGAGTATGAAACCTGATGCCACAGTAGATCCTTCAAGTTTGCATGGTTTGCAGTCTATCCCCTTGCCTACCTTTCTCTTTACTTGTTCAAGAATGATTGTCTCTTTACTTATTGTTCAAGAATGATAATCTTTTAGTTATCTTCTGCCAAAATAAACAAATGAATCTAACTTTCTTGTGTCTGGGGACAGGTGGATGCCCGGTGATTAAGGGGGACAAATGGTCCTCTACCAAGTGGATGCATGTTAATGAATACTAGTAATGTAACTACTGGGAAACTGTGTGTGATTGAGATTCATGTCTAAGCTCCATTATTCTTTAATTAGATCGGTCATTTATATTTTTTGACCTAATTTATATATAGGTTGATAAGTAGATGTTTCATCTTCTTTTCTAAGTGTTTTCCCATGGAAATACTGAGAAAAATATATGGTGTAATACTTGGTTTTTATAGATACATTAGGAGATAGAAGGATTGGTGTCGGTAGCTGATGCCTCAACAGCCGTCTGTAAAACTACAGAAAAATCATAATGAATCCGTATCATATTTTACTTAGTTGCTTTGCTCTTTTGTTCTGGTTGATTTAGTTTTAAATTTTAACATTTTTTAATTTGTTTGAGATGCTTATATATTCAATAGACTCTCAATCATTTAACATTTAATGCTTAAACATCCCTATACTTGATGTACTCGGATCCGAGACTTCTAAGAATAACAATCATCACTTTAATCATTAAAATTTATTAATTAGTACAAATTTTAGAATTGTTTAAAATATTCTATAAAGTAAAATAATGATTTAGTTTCATTATACAAAAGGATTATAATTCGGTTTGCTGGCAAATTAGATGGGCAGTGCATATTAATCCAAATATGAATTTGGTTTAAAAAATTAATGACACAAATATTAATCCTAAACTTTAATAGTAATTGCTTGTTGAAATCAATTTAATGACGTAACACAAAACAATAAGAAAACACAATATACAGGTCAATTAATTAATTTTTTTATTATATGAACCAATTAATTTTGATACATGCATATATAAAATTAACTTTGATTTATTGCACCTACATGTATATTAGATTTTGATTAAAAAAACTCTGATACGTAAAGCATGAAATATTCTCTAAATTAATAAATATTAATTTATTGATAAATTAATGACCTCGATAAAATATAATTTTGCGAGTCTTAAAGATGTTATTTTTGCGAGTCTTAAAAATGTTATTCTATAAAGATTTTAATGTAAAATAAACAAAAATACAACATCTAAAACATTATAAAAGATAAATTAACTTATTTTTCAATGTATAAAATTAAAATATCATAATTTATTTGACATCAATAAAGTTGCAGTGAATACATTATCGTGTGAGTGGATTAAAGAAATGGAGAGGTTCCAACTTGTGTGGTGTTGAAAATATTTGAGATTTAGAGGAACTTGGTCACATATTTCTGCAGCAATGGGCGTACCAAGGCTCTGTATGCCTTCTCCGTTGGATGATAACTATCCCAAAACACATATTCAGAGGCATTTCCACACGTTGATTCAATCATTTGATTGCACAAAACCGCCACCTCTACGTTCCCCGTCCCACAGCAACCTCTGTTTGCAACTTCAAAACCTGGAAATTCCAAAGGTTTTTACACTAAAAACTTGAAACATTTGAGATAAAATCATTCGCCTTCAAAGAAAAGAATACCATATTTGTTAGGGTTTTGGAGTATTTCAAGCAGTGGATTGTAGACGTCGATATACACAAATTTTCCGTCCGACTGGTTTGCTTGAAGGGAGTCCACCACGGCGTATAGCTTTTCGTTGAATAATTTAGCTGCAAAGTTGTCATCTTCAGCACATCCCATTCCAATCCCTGCTGCTAAACTCCTTAGCGATGGCAAACACCCGATTGGTGGTGCACTAAACACCCCAATCCTTCGAGCTCCCAAACCATACAATTCCTTTGTTTGATTCCAATTTTCATCAAAATCAAAACAACAATCAAGTTTATAATAACCGTGAGCAAAAACAGATTATTAATACGTGTTGAAAATATATATTACCTTAAGAAAGTCGAGCGCCGAGTTAGCCATTAAATCAGTGTAAGAAGGAACATCGTATTGTAACTTCCGGACTCGGAGAAGGAAATATGTGTTGGCGATGTCGTCGCTGCCGGCTACAACTAGAAACAAACTCTTGGACAAGATGAAGGTTGTTTCCTCTTCCCCGACATAGCTTCTCAGCTTCCAAATATATTCTCTGAAGTGATCTAACTGCTCCGATAACGGTATAACGGACTGGTATTTTCGGACAAAGGTTGAAACACCATTTGGTAAGCGCAAGAAAAATAAGTGATTTAGATTTGAAGAAAAAGAAGAAATTATGTACCACAAGTTTGGAAGTCAAAGGATCATAACCAGCGCCGCCGGAAGCAAAGGTTACTCCTGTTTTGAGATCTTGGGGCGTCAGTGTTGGATCCAGATACGCCGGCACTGTTTCTTTAATTCCCAGTTCTTCAGCTGAAAACAATTTAACAAAGGAAATAATAACAAAAACTCGATGAATTTATTGCATGTAAAAATTAAATTTGGTGTTTAACTTAATTACGTTTGTACGAAGATGTGGTTAATGTTAAAATATCTAAAATTTTGTAAGGTAAGTACACAATTGGTCCGATATTATAGGACATTATTTTGTTGAGTCTCAAACTATTAAAAGTTAAAAAATGATCTTTCGATTATAGGACGTTACTTTATTAAGTCCCATGACTATTAAAAGTTATAAAATGATCACCCGACATTTCATATGTTCCAAATTCATCATTTTTCATAAAAAAAATGACGGCAATATGAGTTGGACGTTAACATATTGGTTGAGATATGATAAAATATGATCTCAGAATCTCGAACGACAATCATATCTCAGACAGTATATTAACATCCAACTCAAACAAATGTCAATTTTTTATCGAAAAATAATGAGTTTGGAATATATGAAAAGTTGGGTGACCATTTTGTAACTTTTAAAAGTTGAAAGACTCAACAAATCAACACTATATAGTCGGATGACCATTTTGTAATTTTTAATAGTTGGGGGACTCAACAAAAAAACACCTTGTAGTTGGGGGACCATTTGATGTACTTTACCCAATTCTGTATAAACTTCCTATACTATTATATAGTCCTGAACAATTTAATCTTTCTATAAATAAATATCATAATTTAATTATTATCAGTCGAATGTGAAAAAAAAAAAACAAATTAAATACGAAAGTAGTAATTTTAATAATAAAATCTAATGTGATAAAACAAAACCTAAATCCAGTGATTGAAAAAAAACCGGTCACCTGCGGATTCTAAGATTGGTATTTCAAACACAATAATATTTTTTTAAAATATAAATAATAATGATTATTTAATATATTTGCAGTGAAATTTTCCCTTTATAAGTTATTTTAATTTATTAGTATGTATTTTTAATGTATTCTTAATTAATATTTTAATTAAATGAATCTTGCACCTGATGATAGATTAAGGCTGAATAAGGAAAAAAACTTTAAAATAGCTGTATCAAATAATAATATTAGATTAATATTTAAATTATTTTTACATGAAAGGAGGAATGGTAATGGGTTAGAGAAGTTCTTGCACCCTAAAGATTTTAAAATTTTAATATCAAATTTTGTAAAAATTTTAAAAGTTCCAATTTGATCCTTTAAATTATTAAAAAATCTCACTGAATTTCAAATTTTTAAATATTTTTAATTAAAGCATCTCTTAAAACTTTTAAAATTTCTCATTACGTCTCACAATTATTAAAAATATTAGATAAACACTATTTTATTTGAAAATTTTAAATTAAACTCTTCAATTTTTTTAAAAAAATAGTTTAAGCCTTCAATTTTTTTAAAACTTTTAAATAGGATCTAATTTAAAAAAAACAAATAAACTCCAAATTATTTTTCCATAACCTGGCCACTATTGACATGTGTTCAGATATTTTTAATAAGGGTAAATTATATCAGATACATCGAACTTTAGGCGTTGTATCGTTTATACCATTGAACTTTCAATTTTTCAATTATACCACTAAGCTTTGATTTTCGTTTCAATTATATTACTGAACCATTAAATTGTTAAAGGCACGATAGTGTGGTTGATGCATGCTAACATGGATGACAAATGCCGACGTAGACACTTCACCAAAATGATGTCGTTTTGATCCAGTTGTTAATGATTTAATGGCTCAGTGATGTAATTGAAACGAAAATCAAAGTTCAATGCTATGATTGACAAAATTGAAAGTTCAGTGGTATAAACGATACAACACCTAAAGTTCGGTAGTATCTAGTCTAGTTTACCCTTTTAGTAACTATATTTAGCTTCTTTCTTTCACGTTAGATTGTATTAACAAATTTCTTAACTACATGTTTAATTGAATCGATGTGAAAAGGAAGAAAGATAATTTGATTGAATTCATTTCAATTTCATAAGCACACTACGCTATTGTATCATATGTTGACTGATAGGGAAGAAGTATAAAAGTGAAAAAATACCTACTAAATCCGAAGGGATTTTTCCATTACAAAACCTTCCTGTTGGAACTCCCCCATGAAAATCTTTGCCGTAGGGGGGGAAGTTGCACTTAACCAGAGTCCGGAGATTGTTGTTGTTTCCAGCGTCGACGATCGAATCCCCAAAGGCGATGACAGCCGGAACCGTTAGATTCGGCGGTAGCTTTACCAAAGCTTCTACACTGTTGAGTAGCACAAAAACCAAAAGATAAGGCAGCAAGAAACCTTTGAAAGAAGATAAGATACTCAGCTTCATGATCAAAAGAGATATAAGATCCTCTTCTATTAATTTCTTCTCCTACTGATATATTTATATATATGCATGCAGCATGCGAATTAGAGATTTTTAAAAAAGTATATATTATTTATATCCAAGTTGGAACCACCCTGTCCATGGACATATCTATCATCAATCTAAAAGAAAATTAATTCTTAAAATAATAGAAAATATCATTATAATTCTTAACAAGTAATAAAATTACGATTCAATGGTAGTATATGCACTCATACATATTGTTAGTGCATTTAATTATAAAACTTTGTTTTACATGATTTAATTTATATTTTAATAGAATCAGATTACATTATTTTTTAAAATTAATTTAATTGATTTAGATATTAGGTCACAATCAGTGAATTTAAACAATTTTTTTTTATGAAGAGTGAATGTGCTTAACTTAGCTGGGGTGCGGTTCCCTTCGACGTCCTCAAGGATCAGTGTGGCCTCCGGTGGTGATGGTGTCTGGTAGTATGTAGCTGAGTTAGTTGCTTACTTCGTTTTTTTTAACCTTTTGGTTTTATTAAAAAAAAAGGAAGATACCAACAATGGTTGGTTTAAGTAGTAAGCAGTTTGATATTGCTTAAGTAATGTCTCGATTTTGAGTTCTTGTGTATGCAGAAAATTCCTGTTGGAAGACTCACCCACCAAAATTAAATATGCGACACGAATTAATTTGAATTAATCAAGATAAAGCCTTAGAATTGGAAGGGCAACAGAAATAAAATGTAAGATATCACAATTTACTTGCTTACTTCTTTTGCAATTTTGTTTTGTGAAGTAAAATAAAACATTAAAATCGTCTCTAAAATAATGATAAAAATATGTAATCATTGAAAACAATTTGAAGAAAATACTACTACTTCTTATATTATTTAATATGAGTAAATGTTTAAAATATAAATTATATATAATTATAAATAATATTTATGAATCAAATAATGATATCAAAATTAATTTAAATAAATTTAATTCTAAAATCTGAAATGATGTGTAAATTTATAGTTCACTGTGGGTGAAAACATAACACATCAAATATTAATTCATTTAATATAATAGTCGGTAAGAATATAAATATAAGATATCATGCAATTTATAATATTTTTTATTAACTATAAGCATAAACATATATACACGTTTCAATTCACATGATATCACGTAAAATTTGTCCAACCTACCAAGCAACACATTCCTGTTCAAAGATTAAAAAAAAACCTCAAGTCGAAACTTTGTTTATTGAACCGAAATCCAAATCAAATTTGGTTAACTCTTTTTAAGAAAATTACAAATGGAAATTGTGAAGCATTGCAATGCCCTCCATAATCGTTGCCAAAATCTGGGATCGGACGAGAAACTCTTTTTGTGTTTTCTATTGGTAATTTATTTTTATTCCGACTTGATCTAAACAGACAAAGGAGGGAAATGACAGGTGTTCTGAGGATTAAAGCAGCATCCAACATAGCAACCTACTAATTAGGCATATCACCCTTATGTGATCATACAAGATGCGAAGCAAGAGCGATGACGTTTAAAGGTGAAATGCCTCCCATTCATGTGCAATACCTACACAACATCCTTTTTATTCACATTAATTTCAGCCGCAAGGGGAGATGAGTGACAATCAGAGATGAATTTAAAAGAATTTTAACAATATTTTCTTTAAAAACTTATGCTAAAAAGATGATCCAATTCAATATTTTATATTTGCCCAAGAGATGCTTCTTGCTGTTTACCAAACTAACACAAGAGAAGTCACGCACGCATTTATGTATATTAATTTGATTGTAAAGATTTTCTTAGGAGAACGAATTTATAAAATTTTAAAGAATTGTGATTACTTAATATGAATTGTTTAGGTTTTGTTAATGTTCGATTTCCACTGTGGTTGAGGGTGTAGCCAACTTTAAGATATTTTAACGTTTATTATTGTTTTTTTAAAAAAACTTATGGGAGTTGAGGGGTGGGGTCACTTTCAACAGGACTTTGTTTATAATTAGAAGGATTAAAAGAAAAAGTAAGGTTTGTTATTAATAGAGTAATTCGCATATGTTGGTAGCACTTGTTGAAGCATGGGAGGAGGATGCTCAATTATCACTAATCTCAATGGGTTTATTCTGCTAAATCTGGACATACAATCACGAATGATATGGAGAATATCCTCCTCTACATGGCCACAAGTGAGGCAAGATTTATCCACTGTTATCCCGTATCGAAATCGCTCACTATCAGTTCATAGACAACCGTTATAAACTGTCAAAAATAAAGTGTCGAATGTAAAATTCTAGAATGAATATCATACATTGATATGCAACACTGTTATTCGGGCTTGTTTATTGTAATATTTAAATGTATATGCATGATTTTGTTGCGACGTTTGTTCATATTTATATGTATATGATCAGAAATTTAACAGGAATTGGGTCTCACTTTTAGGCCAAGCTCAGGCAGTGGCAACTATTCCGGTTGAGGAATGAGGCTGGCCTATTGTAGTGGGTTTAGGACTTGTAATGATTTTGGATTTTGGCTCGATTTGAGTAATGAAATGGGTTGGATATGGTCGGATATAAGGGTTAGGATACCCAATCGGATCCTGTATATGGTTTTGGAGGGAAACTCTCCCCGATTAGGATAAAGTACATAAATGATCTCTCAACTATAGGGTGTTAATTTATTAAGTCCTCTGATTATTAAAAGTTACACAATGGTTCACTGATTACATGACCATTGCTTTGTTGAGTCCCCTACTAGTAAAAGTTACAGAAATGGTTACCTGACTATTCATATGTTCTAAACTCATCATTTTTCGTTAAAAAATTGGCGAGTGTATGTGTTGTACGTCAACATGTTGACTGAGATATGATAAAATATAATCTCAAAATCGTTTAAGTTGTATTTTGTGGATCGACTCTCTATTTACATTATGTCATTGAGCCAGTGCTTGAAACATTATTTTCGACAGTAGTTTTCATCAGGTTATTTATTATTATTATTAATTAATTAATTAATTAATTAATTAATTAAATTTTATGTTTTTCTTTCTTCTCAGGCCAAAATTACAACCCAATAGAAGCCCCAATTACATAACCCAAACTCGGAGCCCCAAATACAAATTATAGTCCAAGACCTGAGGCCCATCAGGAGTAGGACCCGTTTTGGAGCCCAAACATGGTTAGGGTTTGCACCTTTAGTCCCAACGTCACAAGCCTCTTTGTCGTTGGATCAAGTCAGATCCAACGGTCCGTATACCTCCAATAATTAGGGTTTTACCCTAACCTATCTCAACTACACTCTCTCAACTGTCGGATCTAGACCCATCCAACGATCCAGATCGAGTCTCAGCTACCGACCGTTTCACCCACTCCCCGGCCACCGACGCCTCCTCCAATCCGAAGCTCTGTCATGTCAGAAACAAGTCAGCAAGCAACCCCAACCAAATCCACACGCAATGACATTTTGTGTAATAATTTCATAGAGAAAAAATCGGCAAAAATCTGTAAAACACGGGCTTATAAAACCCGAGCAAAACATGTAATAGAGGTTCCACTTTTGGGGAAGAAAAATAAAAGCAAAAGAAGCTTAGCTTTTTTTTCGAAAGGAATTTTTTTGTATATATTTTACAGTTTCGAAAATACTATAGGGGGCTTTGCATGTAAGAAAAAAATAGAGACAAGAGGGTCGAGTGATTTACTTAAGTCACCGGTTCGTCTTAGCGACAGTCGAAACGCGAGAGAGTCGAAGAGTCGAGGGTGTTTCGGGTTGTTTAGGGGGCGTTTAGGTGGATTTTAGGCTTAGATGTGTGTCTAGGAGTGTAGATTTGGGCTAGGGGAGCATTTTGAGTCAATTTGGGGATTCCGACCCCCGTGTGCGGCGGTCGGAGCGGCAACCGAAGGTAGCTTGTGATGGCCGACAGTGGGCCGGCCAGAGGGGAAAGAAGAGATAGAAGAGATCTTTTTGAGTTTTTTTAAATCTCAGTTTGAAATGAAAAAAAATAAAGGAATTGTATTTATAGAGTAAATTAGGGGGAATTATGCTTAGGTCCCCCTAACTTACGCGTATTTTTATAAAATGGTCATGTGTAGGGATTGTTTTCATAATTTACTCATTTATGTTTATGCTTTGTAATTTTTGGTTTAATTATTGTTTAGTCCCCTGACTTTTAGCATGTTTTTGTATGCTAGTCACTTGTAGGGACTGTTTTTATAATTTACCCATTTTTATGTCTGTTATATATATTTTAGTTTAATTACCATTTAGTTCCTGCATGTTTAGCGTGTTTTTACATTTTGGTCAGTGTAGTGACTGGTTTATTTTTAAAAAATATGTAGGGACTGATTTAGGAATTTCCCCTTTTTATTTCGAATGTATATTTTAGGCAATGAAAAATGGAATATTTATGAAATAACCCTTGTAGTTTATGCATGATTGTATTTCGAACTTGAATGTGTTTTTTATTTATTTTAATTTATCCATGCAATTTTAATTTATTGTAATTTAGTCCCCATGTTTTATTTATTTTTATTCTTCACAATTTTAGCACTTAATATTGAAAATGCTCACTTTAGTCACTTGTATACTTTATTTTATTTTAATTTTGGCATTATGGTTTGATTGTTTGTATTTTAGTCCTATTTTTATTTTATTTTAATTTTTGCATGTTGTTTGCATATTAGTTCATTTTAGTCCTTAATTAACTTTGCATGTTACCCTAATAAGCATCACTTGACTCGAATCGAAATAAATTGACTAAGGGTAATATTCGTTCATTTTAATATTGTCGTAAAGTAACTATTTTAACGTATAAGAAAATAAATTTCGATAATTTTAAAATGAAAGTCTATCCCATTTAGTGACACGAATTAAATCGAATTCATTTTAAAATTTGGGGATTGAGAAAAAGAACATGTTCTTCTAATTAAATTCGTCGAGAAAAGATTATTAAATCGAATCTAAGGTCTCGTCTCGAGATATTTAAATAATTGAACATCCTTATTCTCATTAAATATTGCTAAAATAAATAAATAATTATACTTGCTTGATATATGCTTTTAATTCACTTTATTTTTGCATGTGTTTTCCCGATAGGTTTTCAAAATAAAAACATTTGAATCGATATTGAGAATAGTAATATCTTTTCATTTTGGTCGGAGTAATAAATGAATGCTTTAAGGCATGAGAGGTCATTTATTCTCGATTGGAAATAATTTAATATTGTCGTTTTCTCTCGAATTAATACCAATTTTTAAGATGGAATAATGATATCTCTTCATTTCGATTGGAGCAATAAATGATTGCTTTAAGGTATGAGAGGTCATTTATTCTCGATTGGAAATCATTAGATGTTATCGTCTTCACTTGAATCGATATTGAATTTTAAGACGAAATAGTAATATCTCTTTATTTCAATTGGGGTAATAAATGATTCTTTTAATGCACGAAAGGTCATTTATTATCGATTGAAAATAATTAGATATTATTGTTTTGACTCTTAAAATTATTTTGGGTGTTGTTATTTTGAATTAATAGTGAACTTTAGAATGGAATTTTAATATTTCTTTATTTTGATTGGAGTAAGAATCGATTGCTTCAAGGTATGAGAGATCGATTCTTTTCGATAGGAAATAATTAAATATTATTATGTTTTGTCCAAAAATTCAAATAATGTTATTTTTAGGGGATCTTAAATTAAATTAGACTCGAACTTGTAAATTTTATTGCAAAAATAATTAATTAATCAACTGGGTACCGATTTAGGGCGACGTGGGGGTGCTAATCCTTCCCCACAAGTAACGACTCCCGAACTCGAATTTTGGTAATGCATACCACAAGTTTGTTGTTTTAATTAAAATTAATATTTTATTAAAATGAAAAATATGTTTTTTGGGTGCCAAATCACACCCTAATCAAAAGATTGGTGGTGACTCCTCGAGCTACGTTTTATCACTAACAGGTCATCAAAAATTATTTCGAAACGAGCCTCCTTCGGAAAAATCGTTTCGACAGCTTGGCGACTATACTGAGGATATTTTTTTTGAGAGTCAGGCCATTAGTCAACTAATTATTTGTCTTTGCAAATGAAAAATTACAAGTTCACTCTAATTTGATTTATGATCCCTTGTGTGGTTTGAATAAATTTTCACATGTAATTTAATTAAACACTAAATAATTGTATTGATATGTTTGCTAATGTTTTCAGAGTTAATAATTATTCAGGGTTTTGAGTTGTCTATTTGGTGTTGTTTGCTTTGTTTTAACTTTCCTCACGCACTGCACAACTGTATTTGCATAACATGAGTTAACACTGTAACACCCATAACCCGTATAATTATACTTATACATATTATATATGTCACCCGAATTTGTAAAACCATTTCCCATCCAAAAGTGATTTAAAATTTATTCTCTTAAAATAGTAACTGATTTTATAAAAATATCATATCATAAAAATTAACCTTTCATCACTATCAATTTACCAATTTGTTTCCAAATTAATTCAACAAAACAAATTAAACATTATCAAATTACATGCCACTATCTAAGTCAAATTCCATCATAGGATGCTTACTGATATTGAAATTTACTCCTCGATGCTTGATGTCACATTGAACTCTTTATCCATTACTGCCTTTTTACCTACGCGTGAAAATCATCACACGCTAAGTATAAACTTAGTGAGGAAAGTTAAAACAGTAAACAGTGCAATACAATTCATGCATGAATTTCAATGTCAAATTCAAAATGCCATAAAATCATGTTACCAACATATCCAATATTTTTCCATGATCAAAATAAGATAAAATCTCTTACCATTTATCCCATAAGCTCGTAAGCTTATTTTACCAATATACTTGTCATTATTCCATAAGCTCGTAAGCTTATTTTCCAATTTATCATTTATTAACCAATAAACCATAAATCATAGCCCATAGTATAACTGTATGAGGAACCCAGTATAGGAGTCAAATATTGCACCGAAGTGCTGAGGTCGAGCTTTGCTCACCTAATAATGCACCGTAGTGCTGAAGTCGGGATTTACCCACCTAGTAAATCGTAGTGTTTTGTACCGTGTCTTCACTAGACACTTTGAGGCATGCACTATGTGCCTTCTCTAGACACTTTAGTGCTACCTAATATGCAATTGCTAGACTCTATGGCACACCATTAATACCACTGGACCTCAATAACATACTTGGGCATATAGTGAATTTTATTTGATCCATCCATGGCAAAGTATATCAATACCATTTAACATTGGGCAGTTCATCCCCGCAATATCATTCATGATAAAAATCATATATGCTCATGATAACATCATATGAAAAAATCAGCGATCAATGCATTTTATATTCCACCTTTGACATATTTAGAATATGTCAAATATATGATAAATGACATAATATCATGCAGCTATAAACAAGGTTGACTTATCGCAAGTCTTCATGATGATGTATAAAACATCCATGTATAATTTCATGCATGTATTGCACTCACCTTGACACTTTATATCTTTCAAAATATGTGCCTCACTATTGTCCACAATAACCCTTTTCTTTTATACTTGAATCGCTTTGAACACCGAATATATCATGATCTGTACAAAATATAGATTCATACCTATATATATGTTAGTATTGTACTAACATAAATATATTTCCAAAATAAATTCCATAATCATACTTCAAACTATTCACCACCAATTACTTTAACACTTATTAATTCTTTTTAATATTGAAACAAACTTTTCCAATTTTTCTTTTTAACATTGAAACAAACTTTTCCAATTTACTCAAAATGATCCTTCACCATTTTACCACTTAAATTCTTAATACCAATAATTCCAGCATTGAAATTATTTCCATTCAAATGCTTTTACAAAAGCATAATTACATTTAAGTACCCCAACTATACAAATGTTGTACTTAAATCACAAACCTTTTCAAACTTCCAAAATAGTCATTTTTAACATCTAACACTCATTTCAATTCCAAAACAACATTGTCCATCATAGTATATCAATTATACAACACTTACACAACAACCCATCAATTTTTCCATATTCAGACAACTCGCACTACCTTTAAATAATCAGTACTATGTTTTGATATATATACTGGAATTCAATTCCGTTTCTTCCGTTAAAAACTATACTCGAATACAAATCTATCCATATAAAGAACTCCTTATAATTAATTCTGTACAATTTATGGTGAATTTTCAAAGTTGATCAACAAAATCTGTTTTGCAGAATCTGCTATTCGATTTTCTGACCTTTCCTCGGTTAAAAATTCATATCTTTTTGTATACACCTTGAAATCACTACAGCAAAAATGGTTTTTAACGGCGGATGTAGCGGCGTTTTTACTGAAAACGCCGGTAATTGTTTACATATAGCGGCGTTTTTGAACAAACGCAGCAAAATACTATACTTTAGTGACGTTTGTATAAAAACGCCGCTAAATAATCGTAATGTAGTGGCGTTTTTATATAAACGCCGCTATAAACTAGTATTTTAGTGGCGTTTTTATACAAACGCCGCTATAGACACATACTTTTGTGGCGTTTTAATACCAAACGCCGCTATAGACTCGTACTTTAGTGGCATTTTTACATAAACGCCGCTATAGACATGTACTTTTGTGGCGTTTTAATACCAAACGCCACTATAGACCCGTACTTTAGTGGCATTTTTACACAAACGCCGCTATAGACACGTACTTTTTTGGCGTTTTAATACCAAACGCCGCTATAGATTCGTACTTTAGTGGCATTTTTACACAAACGCCGCTATAGACTCGTACTTTAGTGGCGTTTTAATACCAAACGCCGTAATTGTCATATTACCTAGTGGCGTTTACGTAAAAAAATGTTGCTACTGAACACTACTTTAACATATCGAAACAAAACCCTAATTCCATAGATTCAGTCTGGGCATCGAAAAGAAAGCATTGCTTTAAAGGTCTCTGGGGTCTCGCACATCCAATTCAAAAAAAAATTCTCTTCAAAATAGGGTTCATCATAACACCCCATTCTATTCCCACATAAACGATTATTTAATTCTTCAGCAACCTTTTGTTTCCATCTATTAACGTCATTATATTCTTTTGGGATCCTAAGTTCCCCCAACAGCTTTGTTTCTATGCACTTTCATCTTGTCGATGTTCTAAAATGGCGGCTCCGAGGAATGTGTTGAGGGACGAGGAGAGTGCTGCGGCGGCGTTGTTGAGCATCAGCAGCAAGGAAGATGACGATTCTCCGTCGGGGAAGAGGTTAAAATCAGAGAGGTTCCCCGTTTCAAGGTGGGAATTGGCTGCCTTTTTCGGGGTTTTCTTGATTTTTTCTACCGGCTTGTTCTGCATCTACCTGACCATGCCCGCTACCGAGTATGGGAAACTCAAGATCCCTCGTTCCATCTCTGATTTGCGATTGCTCAAGTAGGATTCCCCCCCTTTATAATAAAAATTAGTGTTCTCTCTCTCAATTGATGAAGAAATAATCTTAATTTGTGTGCCAAATCCTTGGATTTGATCATTGCTGTTGATTTTGGAAATGCCCATTTTAGATTTCTTGTGGTTTATATAAGATTTTGAGCTAGAGAGAACTATTGGGAATATTTTAGCTTATAATTGTAGTTAATTTTTTTTAAATTGAAATATGCCTTCTTTTTTGTGTTATATTGTAGGTGAAATAGTTGTGGATGAGAACTCTTATCATTTATATTCTGCCCGGAATGAATCCTTTGATTTGTTTTGTCCTTAATATGTAGCACTAGGGAGTTTAAAAGCAATCTATGACTAATGATGAGTTTAGTTCATATGTGGATCATGTGAGGGCATCGAATAATGCAAATTGTAGGGAGAATATTGCATACCGAGTATATCCAGCTATGTACTAACAATGCATTGTTGCTGAAATTACCATTCCTAATTTATTTCTATCATGTACTTTAGTTTACTTGTTTATTTACTACTTTCTTGTTGCCGGGTGCTTCTACTTTGTCGTGAAACTTCTTTCTGTGATGTTTTAGCTGCAACTTATTTTACTGAAGTCCTTGTTTTTCTGTTCTTTTTCAGAGATAATATTGCAACATATGCAAAGGATTACCCAACACAATTCATTTTGGGTTACTGCTCAACTTATATCTTCATGCAAACTTTTATGATTCCTGGAACGATTTTCATGTCTTTGCTAGCTGGAGCTCTCTTTGGTGTTAAAGGCCTTTTCTTGGTTGTCTTCAATGCCACAGCTGGAGCATGCTCCTGCTTTTTTCTATCAAAGCTGATTGGCAGACCTTTGGTCAGTTGTTTGTGGCCTGATAAATTAAGGTTTTTTCAAGCTGAGGTACCTTCATTTTTCCTCTTGTTACTGTCTTTGGAACTATTCGTTCGTTCGTGTTTTCCCTCTTAATTTAGCATCTTTCACTTGTTTTACCCTATATTCTTTTCTGTTACTGTTGGTATTGTCACCTGAAAATGTCCGTTGAAATAAAACATATGCTTGTGTCATATCCAATTTATTGCTATGCCTTGTTTGTGAAGGTTTTATATTAATTGATGTGTATTCTTAACAATTTGGAATAAGAAAAGTTTCTACAAGATCACTATACATATCCTTATATATCAGTTTTCTACTTTTAGCCAAATATTGAGTTGTTCAACCATAGAGACTAACTAGGGAGATTTCTATAAAAAAAAAGTTTGAAGTAGGTGCTTGTTGATAAAGAATCGGTTCTTATTGTAATAGGGTTCTTACTTCATATATTATTGAATTTCCCTGGATACATTTTCCTAATGTCAGGTTGGGTTCAATGGATGTCATTTGGGTATATTTATTTGTCAACATCTAATGGATCATTCGTTGTAATGGAATCGAGTCTCTAACTTTGTGTTGAGACTTAATTCATTTCAATCTGTTGGTGTTGTATGCAAGTCAAATGATAGAAAAAGATGGCAGCCATATATATTCAGATAACTTATCTGATTTAAGACCACCATTGTATCTTCTTTCAGGCTGGCCTCACACTTGGGGATCTCAGGTCTGTTAAGGACCTCTATGATTTCAAGACCTTGTCCGTGCTTTTCCTTATCGGGATGGTCTCCATATTTCCTACCCTTCTGAAGAAAAAGAAGATATATGAATAAGGCTATGTTGGTGAAGCTTGTGGCATCCTCCTGACTGAAAATGGGGAATCAAGAATACAAAATTTTACAATCTCCAAATTAGGATTTGAGAAACAATAGCGCATAATTGAAGATCCTCATTTCTGCAGCTGAATATCAAAAAGATCTAGGCATTGTCACAAAATATGAAAAGCACAGGGCAGGTAACTTTTATTCTTATTTTCAATGTTATGTTAAAGTCATCTCCCAATTAGATTATTTAGAACATTTGGGAGCCAAACTTTTCTTTTTACTAGAAATGCTTTGTACGCCATCGTCTCCAGTTTTACTTTTACAGACAACACTACATGATAATGTTGCTGTAGAATATGTAAAAACTGTACTCATATGTAGTGTATTCAGTAATAATAGTTTGTCATTTTAGATATAGCTGACATGTGCCGTTCTTTTTCTGGGTTCAACATTCACTATAAGCAGATAAAGCTTTCATGGTTCCTGACTTCCTGTTTTTGTTGTTTGTTGCAACATCTTTTTTCAGTTCTCAATCACTCACATGTAGGTTATGAATGCAAGTTCTGCTGGTTGTTTCCTTCTCTTCTTAGTCTCATCTAAATTATTGTAATTGCAGTAATCTTGAAGAACAAACTTCAACAAAAAGCGGCTTCTTCAATAGACTGGCACAACGTTTCCCATTTGTATTTAATCTATTGAGGAGAGATCATTCACTGTCAAATGATACTTTCAAATAAGATGTCAAGACGATGAATATGACAAATTCCAATGAAGTGGGAAACAAAGTAGCTTTAGAAGGCATATCTGGAGGTTATGATGATGACGCTAGTGAAATTGAGGATGTATCGAACAACAAATCCATGTATATCTACACTTTGAGGTTCATTTGTAACTCATTTATACTTTAATGTCTTTTAAGGTTATCTCTCCATAAAAAAACTTTAATTTATTTTGTTGTTAAGTATTTTTCTTTATGTTTTTTGTCTTAATTAAAATGTATAGTTGTTGTTAATTAGATAAAGCTAGATATAAATTTAGGTGATGTATAGCAGAAATGAAATATGCAAAATCAATTATTAATATTAGCTTAAAGGTAATTAGCGACGTTTGTATCCAAAAATGCCGCTATAGGTCTGACTTTTTGCGGCGTTTGTGTTTAAAAACACTGTTATAGGTCTGACCTTTTGCAGCGTTTGTGTCCAAAAACGCCGCTATAGGTCTGACCTTTTGCTGCGTTTGTTCTAAAAACGCCAGTATAGGCCTGCTCTTTTGCGGCGTTTGTATCCAAAAACGCCGCTATAGATCTAACCTTTTGCGGCGTTTTTTTCTAGAAACGCCGCTATATATCATAACTTTTTACGGCGTTTGTTCCAAAAACGCCGCTATAGATATCGACCTTTTGCGGCGTTTGTTCAAAAAACGCCGTAATATATATTGACCTATTGCGGCGTTTTTTGTTCTCAAACGCCGCTAACTTTAGCGGCGTTGGTATTGCTGGCGCTTCTTGCGGCGTTTTTCCTATTGCCGCAAATACTTTTAGCGACGCTTAAAAACGCCGCTATAAGACTAAAAAAGCACCGCTAAAACTCTGTTTTGCTGTAGTGAATTGATCCCCGTTTGTTTTAAAAAAAATCTAGATTGATATATGAACACAAATATATAAAAATAACCTCCAATTTAGTTTTATATAATTTCTGGTGAATTTTTGAACCCACTGCTAAATTCAAAAACTAAACTGTTTTCTTTAACTTCATCCTTAGGTTCTTCATAAATTCTTACCACCAATTCTTTAAAATAAGCAACTCTTCATAACCCCTAAAATACAAGAATCAACATCTCCTTCATCATTTCCAACCCATATATAATTTTTCCATAATTTTTCTCATTCAAACAATCCATGGCTGAAACTTAAAGAACAAGTTCTAAAAAGATTAAACATGTTCTATTCATCGTACATGCTTGAATATGAATCTACTATCTCACAAACATCAATATTCATCATCAATTTCATGATCTCTTATATGAACACAAACCCTTAGATTTGGGATCTTTGAAATCTAGCTAGATTATCATGCAATATTGGTACCAAAAGATAGCGTTTTTCGCTTATAACAATTTTCTATTTACAACTTATTCAAAATCCTAAGTAAATTACTTGAAAATTGAGTTGAAGCTTTCTCTTACCTTAGGAGAAAACCCACGTCTATTTGGAGAAGAAGATGAGCATGTGAAATGAAATGTTAGGTACATTTCATCTTAATTTACATTTAATCTAACTTTAAAAGAATAAAATATTCATTCACTTGAGATAAGACCAAATCACCCTTAATGAATCTTCTTATTCACCATAAATCCATGACAACTCATCCTTATCATATTTCAAAGTCAAAGCTGAATTATTCTGACTTTTATTTCTGAAATTTCCCCTAAATTTTTCAAATCTTGCATTTTAGTCACTAAATTCCACTATTTCGGTTATATCTGAAAAATTGCACAATTCCAAACCAAATTTCTCTGATCTAAAATATTAAATAATATTTCCAACCATTTTATAACAACCTTCAAATATTTGTAAAATTCCAATTCAATCTGAATTACCGATTCCTTATCGGCTTTAACCCTTTCTAATTATTCTTTACTAAAATTCCAAATCCAAAAATATGATTTCTATAAAACCCCGCTCTCAAGAGTAAACTATCTATTTATAGAATGAAATTATTTTCAGGAAATTTCTCAATTCCCTACAATTTTCCAAGTTTTATACTTTGACCATCAAACTTTCAAAATTTACATTTTGGTCCTTATCTAAATTTTTGGGGTATTATAAAAACCCTACTTTTTCCTATTTAAGTAGGAGTGAGAATCTACTCCCTCGTGTGGTTTTTACCTTCGTAAAGGATAGTGGATCGCTCATGGGGCTCATGCCTTATGGCCCTCGTGATGGTTTTCACCTCCGTATGGATATAAGGAGGTGTGTCCCCTCGAATTGAACTCGTTCTGAAAGCTTGTGATGGGTCAGGATTGAGGGTTCAGTAGCCCAAGAGGGCAACGACAAGGACAATTTGAGGACCTCTTACTTTAGAACTGAACCTAGCATGTAGTAAACTTAGAACACAGATAGAGTCTTACCCAAATCATAAGAATCCCGTGAGGAGAGTACACAAGGAAAAACCTATTTGAGCCTTTTAATTTTTGTAATGTAATTTTGATTCCCCAATAAATGTATGCAAACTAGAGATCACGTGGCTAAGTATAATTTTTCGAATAAGCATGCGAACTAGATGATATAAGGTTAGAATTTTCTATAAACGAAGCGTGTGGGTAGAAATTCTATTTGGGTAGGATCTACTAAAGTATGATTGGGTAGTCAGCATGTGGGGTAGGTTTTATCGACAAATTATATTATATCCGATTAATTCATTTATGATTATTGACTAATTTTCTCTTGTCCTTTTGTTTATTTTGTTCTCATCTTACATTGCACTATTCATCCCATTGGTGTTGATCCGTGACCGATGTCCATATAGAATGCTAGTAATATGGAACGAAGGATTCAAAAAGAGGTAGAAGATAATGCAGACGTTATGAGATGGTCCGAGCAGTCCCAGCTAATAAATGGAGATAATTTACAGCCTGGATACGTGTCAGATCTAATTGGGTACTCACATCAACGTCTGTCAAAAAGATTTGAGTGAGTTGAAAGAGATTTGGGGAAAGAGTGAAACATATGATAAGCAGTTGTTTTATCAACTCTACGGTGACATCTCGTATCTCTTATACGCTCTGATTGACTGAAATTTGTTTAGAGCTTTGGTAAAGTTTTGGAACCCTACGTATAGATGTTTTACTTTTGGTCGAGTCGACATGACACCTACCATAGAGGAATATCACGCCTTGATCGATGTCAGGATTCCAAGCAGACAAGGTGTACACTAAGCCGACAAATACTCATTCCTTCAATAAGAAATTACTTCTGATGACCGGCATGAGTGAATAGTGGACCGTAAGAGGCATAAAAAAGGGAGATAACAAGTGTGTCACCTGGACCACTCTAAGAGAAGTGATCGACCATTATTCTGACAGACGAAAGAAAATTGACCTATTTGCTTTGGGTATTTATGGGCTAGTCATATTCCCGAAGACTCTGGAAGACGTTGATGTAACAGTGGTAGACCTGTTAGAGAGATTGGATAGACATGTGGATCCCGTTTCGTCTATCTTAGAAAAAACCTTCCGTTCCCTAAACTCTTACAAATGAGAAGAAGAATGACGCTTCATAGGATGCACACCGCTATTGCTAGTATGGATCCTCAGTCACTTCAAACACATCGAGAGGGCACCAGGTAGAGTCTTCTTAGAATGATTTTCACCTTTGAAAGATTTCATTTCTCGAAAATGGCCTGGGGATTTCACCGAGGAAAAGTGGATGGTCATTTTCAAAGACATCTGATACGGTGATATTTTTTGGTATGCTTTGTGGAACGTTTCCTCAGACATATTGTATAGGTGCGGAGAAAGAGATTAGGTTTTGTTTCTATGTATATAGGGTTCTGTAGGGTATGCTCTGTTACTGGTTTCCAGACAGTATAGGTCGAGACAGTTCATTCCGGTAACTTAGGATTTACTCAAGTCTGAGTTCGCATTCCGATAAAAGAAGTATAAGAATAAAGTCAAAGGGGTTGTCGATGCTTGGAAGCACACTCGTAGGGTTAGTCTCTTTACCTTCGATTTAAGGTTGTCACAAGAGTACGAGGAGTGGAGAAGCAACAGAGTTAATGATAATATCCCGTTGGTCAATGCCAAAAATACTCAGCCTATGGAAGAACATCTCAAAGTGGTACCATCTCCACTAGAACAAGCTAGACTTGATTTTGAGGCCGAAAAGAAATAGTGGAAGGAGACGTTATAGAGATTGGATGATGAGTCGTACCAGAGAAGCTTAGAAATAGATAACTAAAAGGGTCGAGCCGACCGATTGAAAAAGTAGAGAAACAACTCAAATTGGATTT